CCGCAGAGCGGGGTCGGCGGATTTCGGCTGATACCTGTTGCAAGAATTGCGAGGATGAGGACTGGCTCCTCAGCATATGTAGTCTGTCCATGTTTTCTACGAAGGAAGTTTGAGGGCACTTTGGCAGCTCTGACTCGTGTTGAGTTATGTCGAAAAGATGAAGACGTCGTGGACTTCAAGTGGTTAGGGCTAAAGGTTTAGGGCCTCGGTTGGTTGCTCCGATTTTGCTTGCAGAGGTGTGTTTTTGCTGCTCTTGTTTTTCTTGTCTTTGGATCTAAGGAGGGTGAACGAACTGGTTCCCATGAGAACCTACAATGGACCTACAATAAGTGTAATGTAATCACAGGAATTTACTGCAAAGATTCATAGGCAAGGATATTTAAGATCAAGAGAAGCCGCAACGAGGTGAGTCATTATGTGCAGCAGTTGCAACATAGCGCAAGACTGCAGAGAGCTGCATTCGAGGGAACGAGTACTCCATTCAGACTAGCTGTGTGCCAGGGCGTGCTTCCCAGAGTTTAGATAGTGAACCACATGCGTGGTTTTGATTTCTTGTGGTCCCTTGAAAAACTTTATGCGAGTCCTTCGAATTACTTTAAGGGGGTGTTTTTGGGGGGCATTGGGGCCCCACTCTGAGTGTTGGCCAGGAGTCGGGGACGACAGCCCAGGTCGCCGAAGGCCTTGGCTTCACGAAAAGCTTGCAGCGGCAATCTGCAGATCTCTCCAAACCACAGGTACCTTTTCAGAAGCCCCTGGGCACTTTCTTAAACCAGCAATTTCGCACAGCCTTCATTATTTCTGCCTAGAAGATGAGGTGTGGCTTTCCTGCGGACATTTCCAGACTGGTAAAAGTCTCTGTAAGTGCCTCCCGGGCTGCTTTGTCAACAGGGGGCTCCTGTCCTCTGTCTGGTTATGCGGTCTGTTCTTCTTTTCGTCAGAGTTGAAGGAAACGAGCTAGGTCCCTTCTGAGGATTCAATGGAGGTTGTAGTAAAAGATGTCTAGCTGATGATGATGGTGATTACCTTGTTAATGGTTCGGGCTATCTTTAGTACGGCGATGGTACTCGCCACTGTGAGTAGTATTGCTCATCAACCTCGCTCTTTCAGAGTGCTGCTACCGCACTTCGTCTTGCCCGTTCGCTCATCATCCCGCTGAGTGTTACCTTTCCAGCTACACAGGTATACAGCTTACTCTGGCTTTTGCAAAACAATGTCCTCTTAAATAGGAACAACCACAGCTCCATGTAGTCCCAACAAATCCCCGCGGCTCCTAAGGATCCCTTGTTTTAAGAAACCACCAAAAAGAAAATGGAAACTACATATTGGGGTTATATATAGGGGTAATGGAAAAGAACATGCAACTACTACAAGTTGTCTTGAAGTTGGGCAAATTGTGATTGAATAGGCCCTCCAAATCAACCCCCTCAACTCGGCTGAGATCGGCTCAGGGATTCGCAGTCAAGTGAAACATGAAGCCAGTGTGAGTTTCCCACGGGCTGTTATGCAGGTTCTCTCTGCGAGTAGCGTCAAGAGCAAAACTCGATCATGTGCCAGATCTTAGGACAACAACGTGACTAAGATGAAGCGATGCCGCGCTGATGTTGACAGTTGGTTGCTAAGAAACTTCTTAGACACCGCAGTGCTAGGTCATAGCATTGCTCAACTCTGGCTGATGCCAACTAGGGAGCAAGTTTCCATGTTGCCGTGAGCAGCATGTCGTCAACTCCACCACATCCACCGATCCCTTCCCACTGTGAGCCTTGGACATGTCAAGAATCGATCTTAATCAAGTTTTGATTCTTTCGGATTGAGAAGTTTCAACCCTGAAGAGTAAAGCGTATAAGCCCTAGCACAAGTTAGAACCTCTTTCCCTGCGGATGGGGCTCCTACAAGTTGGAAGGAAGCCCCTTCGAGGGGACATTCTTTGTGCAACGAGCGCTTGGAAGCCGGGCCAACATGGCTCGCAGAATATCGATTCTGGAAGCTTCCGTGCACTTTCATTAGTGAGACTTGGCCAGGTCCTTCTTGGATTGGTAAAAAAATGCAACTATATGCTTCGGGCATTCTTGTGGGCTTGCTGAAATCTTGTAGCTGTTCTCAAATGCGCTACAGCAATTTACAGCAAGTCCTCATGATCCCTGCGCGAAAAAGACATCTGCAGATTTGAAAAGAACACAAAGACAACTCAGGCGAGCGGTCGGAAGTCGGCGCATGTAGCCTTGTCGCATCATGGCGATCATTCATCATGTTTATCGAAGGACCAAGGAGTACAGGGGTCAGAACAGACGACCATTTTCCGATTCCGGGGCATTGTTAGCATGGGTTACCCTAAACCCTAAACCCTTAATCAACAGATTTCCCCGTCACCCGATGACTTCCATACTGCTTGTTACTGCTACCGCGACCGTTAGTACTGCTGCTAATTCACGCCACATATGAAGCAACCAGCAGCAACTAATCATAATTCTTATGTATCTGATATGTAGCAGCAAGAGCTGTTATACCTAAATCCTAAATCCAATCCCTAGCAACAATAATGATGGTGGTGATGTGCATGGATGAATTCGGGAATGGGTGTTAATGGTATTGACTCCGCTAACCCTTTCAACTCTAAACCCCCAAACCCCTGAACCCCTAAATCCTAAATTTTGAACACTAAGCCCTAACCCCGAAATCATAGACCCCTAAACACTAAACTAAAAACCCTAAATCCTAAACACCGCCAAGGCCAGGGGTACCGATACCTTGGCGATGGAAGAGTGCAATGCCCCCGGTGGAGGAAGCTTAGCCTGAATTCTGCCAAATTTCAGCCCACATCTTCGAAATTAGTTGTCCCCGTTTGGCGGCATGCAACAATCATAGGAGCTAGTGGGGTATGTCTCCAGGAACCTATTTTTTTGAAGATCCCAGGTCCTTTTTTGTCCAAGATTGGGAACCTGAGTCTCAGGAGAGAGCAGCTTTGGGAGCCGAGCTCTGCAAAGAGAGAGAGGAGGCCCTGGCAGCCAGCAGAAGCGCTTCGGTTGGTTCTGCCACGGAGCCAAAAAAGTCAGCCAACCACTCAGCTCTGACTATGTGGGTGGTTGCAAAAATTATGATCCCTTTCTGGGTACCCTCAATATTAGGTGTAGACCTTGTATGTTTTTGGCCTTTCATCGAAGGTTCAGAAGGAGGAAGAAAAGGAGAAGAAGGACAAGAAGGAGAAGAAGGATAAGAAGGACAAGAAGGAGAAGAAGGACAAGACGGAGAAGAAGGAGAAAAAGAGGATGGATGAAAGCCGCGCAGGCAAGGAGCAAGCACAGACGAGAAATAGCGGGCAGACATTTCTGATCGAGGATTTCGACATATTCGACATATTCTCTGAGCAGAGTGAGGATGAGCCCCACAATCAGGCAAAGGTGACAAAGGAGAAGAACGAGAAAAAGCGCAAGGACAAGATTGACAAAGAAACCAACAAGGAGACTCGCTCACGGTTGAGTCAGATTTTCAGTCGTACGAGTTTGCAACCCAACCTGGGGTGAACATGACACGGTAGTTTCCCAAAATAGGGGGAACCCCATTACAGACCCTTCACAGGACCTAGGGACCCCCAACATGGTACCCCTAATTCTGGGAAACCCCCAAATGCCTGCGTTGATGCAGGATTCTGAGAGCAGGCCAAGCAAGGAGGCCGCACAAGGGACGAACTAGGAGGGGTTATATGGGCTTACTATATAAGCCATACTTTTATTAAAGGGGGGTTATATTGGGGATTGTAAGGAACTGCTATTGGGGTTATTAAGGGGGATACTAGGAGTTCAGACTATGGCTCATATACAGGACCTATAGAGGTCTTGTATAGGGATAGATAAGGGTTATACAAGGGTACATGGCGGCGATATAAGGTGAAGAAGGTCCCAATGTGGCACATTCATGCGTCACAAGTGGCTGAAGACTACGTGGTTCCAACTACGAGTCCCCTAAAGGGTCTTATTCTCAGAAGAAGGCTGCATGAAGCTAGTATCAAAGAGTTGCAGATGTTCCTTACTCCTCCCAGCATCCTTTACTTCACCACGGAGTTTCCGTACAATCCCTTGCCAGCGCAGAAGGGACTTAAACAACATATTTGTGAGGAGAATGATGGTAATGATAGCCATCATTGCTCTGCAGTATAGTTAAATAGCAGCTGCGGAGGTAATTTGCAGTCACCATCGACTAGCTTCAATTCAAGGATCCGCCCCGGTTAAACACGCTCCCGCCCAATCATGCTGTTTCCGGGGGCCTGAAATCCTCCAAGATAAGATGATCTGTAAAAGAACAAGAGGATTAGAAGCCAAGGTCATGATAGACCTTGGGGGGATTCGCACAATTTCTTGGTTTCTCAAGGGATTTCAAAAAAAGTATGTTGCTCAGAAGATTTGTATGTTGGAAGTCCTGTACGAGGATCCAAAGGAGATTTACGATGCATAAGTCCATCCGTGGGCTTCTTATAGTTAACTGCTTCCATAAGGTGGTATAGCTCAAGTTAATAGAACTTACATGAGAACCATCTAAACAGTGCACATCACTAGAACATTGTTAGCTTCCTCTCTTTTCCTAGATCATATTTTCTGATCTAATCTCACAGACTTCTTTTGGCCCCTCAATACTGGATGAGCTTTCGGCTGCTGGATGACTTGCGACCAAAGCGGCTAGGATGCATTCTATGATCAGGGAGAAGTGTCCCGTCTGGCTATTGGCCTGAGCCTGGCAGGAGCCGCAGCCCTAGAGACCAAAGAGCCAGAACGCCCCAAAGCCCGAACCCCTCCACCCATCCTCGTTGGGAAGTTCTAGTAGAGATCCTTCCCAAACCTTGAAACTTAAACCCTAAACCTTAAATCCTAAACCCTAAACCTTAAACCCTAAACCTTAAATCCTGCGAACAGATTGAATCTGTCCTTTCCTTTGTGCATCCGTAAGAGGTGCATATTTCCAGACCAGTGCAAGTCGACTCATGACGTACCTGATCTTCCCCTTGCACTTAGTGCAGACGTAAAAGGTCCGAGGGGTTTAAAAAAAACCTTAAATCCTAAACCCTAAACCTTAAATCCTAAACCTTAATCCCTAAGGCCTTATAACCTCTGTGGAGCCCTGAGGTTCCCCAAAAGCCTCCCTTTTTGCATCTTTCAGGCTAGGCGGGAACCTGCATCTGGCCGCCTGTCTGATCTAAGTATTTGGTATACCAGGAGTGAGGGTTTAGGGTTTAGGGTTTTGGGTTTAGGGTTTAGGGAGTGAGAGACATATCATGTGAGCTATAGTCTAAACTCCTTAAAGGTGAGTATATAGAGGATGATGTAGGGTTTAGGATGTAGGGTTTAGGGTCTGAACTCCTTAAAGGGGGGTATTTAGGGAATTCTATACGGGACTACTACAGGGAGTATGAAGGTGGATACTAGGAGTTTTAGACTACAGCTCATATGTTTCAGGGATTATGGAAAAGGAAATGGAAACGGAAACCACTGCCTATTTAGGTTAAGGGTTCACATGTTTTTATAATTGTTTTGTTGAACTGAAAAATCGTTTATGCATAGTGACATATAGAAGTGCCTCTACAGGTTTGGGATTAGGGATCATAAAAGGCTTAGGGGTTAGGATTTTCAGGCTTCTACGGGGCCCAGGCATTTCAAACCTTTGAATAGAGGTCAGAGGAGTATGGCCGAATTCCTGGGGAGTTTGGGTTCCCAATACAGATGTTTTCGGGTAGTTTTGAGAAACTTCCAGATGCCTTCAGAGGACCTGTGACTCCTTCAGGGCAGCTCTATGTAGGGAATATCTATGGAGTTGCTGTGGTTTGGGGTTTGGGACTGGGGGATGAATCCATTGGAGGGCACTGGTTCGGGAAAATCATTCAAGAGTCTTCGGAGAGGTGTTTCTTTCCAGGACTCTTCTTTGGGATAATCGGGGTTCCTGATCAAATTTGCAGCTTGTCTGGGTGCTTCCCAGAGTGAAGACTGTATCATTCGGGCGGCTATGGGGACCACTCAGCTTGAGAGACTCCCATGCAGAGAAGCACATGCATCATGGTGACGGCTCCTACTTTCAAACCTTCCCGAGGATCCGAAAACGGAATCTTTGTAGCGTGAACTTCCCAGGAAGCACGGCCAAACCCGACGAGCCCGCGCCGCGCCCGCCGCCAGTAGCTTTCAAAGTGGAAGGCTTCATGCAACGCCACCTCGACGGCCTCTACAGGTCCCAGTGACAGGAGTAGGTTGGATCACCGGAAGTCCGAATCTTGTAGCACTAACCGCTGCAATATTTTTCTGCACAGTGGCATTGGCAGGTGGTTGATTTTTGGGAGAAAGCAGCGGACACGAAGCACCACCATGCGGTCTCGCCAGGTGAACTGTGAAGGAGAACTTTACCAGAGACAGGGTTTGGCTCCAGATTTTTATCTTAGCGTGTAATACTCGCCCCCAACTTTGCTTTCAGGAAGTGTGTGGTCCTTGGTTTACAGATGGACCCGCTGCAAAACCTTCTCCCACATAGTTAGGTCAGGTCCTATCTTGTGTAAAGTGTTTTCGCACTGGAAAACTTCGGATACGCAGAGACGGCAATTTTTGTCGGCAGGCTTGACAAAACCCGCCTTACGCCGGAGCTTGGGGGCCCACCGCGAAATCCGACATTCTGGAAGGCGTGGATTCTAATGTCAGATCAAGACAACAGCAGGATTCGTTCACCGCAAGCAGCAGCATCAATGTCTAACAAAAGAGAATAGATTTAATATACTAAAAAATCAGGCGGTTGAGTCCAGCTTTCAAGAGTAGGTCCCACTGCTAAAAACAGATCAAACAGAGGAGTCAGTCAACCGTTTTGGCACGGTAGGGCACAGACCTGTTCTTCTACTGGCACGCTCGGAGACGGAACTACGTGCTCTGCACCTTGGGGCGAAAGTGTACGTTGAGAATCGTTTACATTCGTTTGACAATAATGTTTTGTGTGTCCCTAGGGCTCCAGTTACCTGAATAATGGGACCTGTGTCCTATATACCCTATAGTTACATAGCCTAGTAACCTACTATTTAGGTAACTGGGAGCCCTAGGGTGTTACGGGTAGATTCTGCCAGCTTTGAGATGCAGTCGCCCGCAGGCAATCGAAGGCACCGGTCGGACTGGTTAAATGACAACTTCGAGCAAATCCAACGTGGCATCCAGGACCGACTGTGAACTGCTGCTAATCATCTGCTCAAGGACAGATTAGCTCATGTGAAGGGATCAGCCTCTCTCGGGATGTTGAAAACATGAAAGGCCCGGGAAGCCTTCATGTCTTAGTTGGCCAAGTGGCTAAGCAAGCTGTTACTTGCAACAAAGACATGAATCCCAACATACATTGGCAATTCTCTTTGGTTATTTAAGGCACCCCCCCCCCAACTTGGAATGAACTTGAAAGACATTGTTACTAGCATGAGTTGCGCAGATGGCTTTACACAGCGTGTTTCATTGAATTTGCCCCAAGGTCGCTGCAATGTGTTTTATATATACAACCAGCGCGTCAGGAACCGAAAGGCTTGGCCTTCTTCAGCGACAACCAGCAAAGATGGTTTGAGCTGCCGGATCGTGCTGAGGCCGAATTTCAGTGGGCCAGCTGCGTGCGATACAAAGAATTCACCGAGTCTGAGCTCCATGAGCATGTGGCTGAAGATATATGGAATGCAGATGAGGAGGAAGAGGCACCACCACAACGCCAGCACCCTGGCGCAAATCCCCGCACCCCGGGAGCAGTAGGGCTGGGAGCTGCGCCAGGCACCCCGAACCTGCAACCCCTCGACGGGGGGGTTCCTTGCCCTGGCACTCCGCCTGCAAACCCCCCAGCCCCCATGGGGAAGCCAGCGGGTCAGCCAGATGCCAACCTGCTAGCCCTTGCGGTCCGTCCCAGCTCACCGCCACGTGCCAGGCAGCCACCATTCGAAGAGCCCATGCATCATCCTAGCCAGCTCGAGCAGCAGCAAATGCAGAACCCACAGGTGATGCCGCAGCCGCACATGCGGCAGCAGCATTGGCCTGAGCAGCACATGCACCGCCAGCAGCAGCAGCAGCAGCAGCAGCAGCAGCAGCAGCAGCAGCAGCATTTGCAACATTTGACTCAGCAGCATCTGGATCAGCAGCGCATACATATGCAGCCTGTGCATCAGCAACACGTGCCTCAGCAGCAGCAGCCGCCGCAGCAGCCCGATCATGCAAACATGCATCGACAGCAAATACAGCGGCAGCAGGTTCCGCCGCCCCCTCCACAGCGGCAGCAGATGCGTGCTGTCCAGCCGGTTGCGCAGCCTGCAGCAGCCAGGCAGCCCAGCACAGCCCCGACTCAGAAACCGGCTTTGCCGCACGCACATCCTCCACGCAGCGCTATTAGGCCGACTTCCGCTCCAGCTCCCGCCATTGCAGCAGATCCTGCAGCTCCAATGCCCAGGTCCAAGCTACCTTTGCCAAAGAATAAGCGAGATGCCACTTACTCGTACACGCAGTTCACAGAAGGCCCGGCATTGCCATGCTTCTGATGCTTAACCAAAACTTCTTGAAAGCCCAAACTCCAAACTGGAAGCTTTCAGATAACCAAACTCCAGGCATCACACTTTTCTTTTTTTTTTTTATCCCGAAGCACCACATGGGATGCTTAGGCCACAAGATGCCGCAAGCCTTCATCTTAGCTGAAGACGCGTGGATTTCTGTATAAACATTAATTAATGCTCTAAGTATAGGATTGCTGAGGGGCTCCTGGGAGTCCTTGGTTTTGGCGCATGCATACATCACTGCCGGGTGCAGGCGGCGTGGTTGACAAAGACGACCTTTGAGCACCTTCCAACTCTGAGGCCAGGAAGTGCATGATAAGGCAACGGTCCAACAAAGGCAGTTCTTGTGTTTGAAGTTTCATCGCTTGAGCGGCACCCTAGGGCTGCTGCTGCTGCTGCTGCTGCTGCTGCTGTACCGTTATTCTGTTTGTTTGGCGAGCGCGCAGCTCCATCAGCGTGGGGCATCGCAAGCCCAGCATGATGATCTTTGCACTCTGTGCGCTGCATCCTCAAGCCCTGCTGAAGGCGCAGAAACTCGAGCAAGAGCCTGGATTCGTTTCTGCTTGCAACGGAAAGTGATCTTTGAACTCGCCCAATTTGACAGACTGCATGTCAGGGGCAGTTCAATCCGCTGCAGAGGCTGTGTATGAACCCTGATTGATGGAGACGTTTACTGATGCTAGAGCAGCATTGTTCGTTTTGATGGCATCACGTCTTGTTGGGATCATGCAAGGAAAGTTTTGCAGAAAAATCAGGCTTCCATGTTTCGGATGGACCGGGGTTGATCATTGCTAATCTGCGTGCAGCCTATGCAGCAGCAGTCTCATACAGATATGTAGGTGCCAATGTTGGAGGTTCTTGCCAAGCATTTTATTTGTCGCCCCGGGACCTCAAAGATGGCACAATCAAATTTGAGCGTTTCATTTAGGTGGGGTACTCCGCCTGACCGTGCGACGGTAAGGTGGATACCTTTTGTCTGAGCAGCTCGAATTGCCATGACTTTTCGTCTGCGCAGCTCGAATTGCCATGACTTTAGAAGCGAGGATTATCCAAGACACAGGCACAACTACAGACGGGCCGTGTTGCTTGTCTCGTTGCCAAAAAGTGCGCGCCGCTCCATGTTGACAAGTACAGACACTTCAGGGTTTTGCTGATGGCTTATGGCCTTTCATGAGGTAGGCTTAGAGTTGTGCTGCGGGTATTTGGCAAATTAAAGTCTGAGACATGAATCAACCTCCGCTTCACCAACATGTTTGTCAAGATTTCCCGATGGTAATGGAACTTCTCAATCTGTGCCGTTGTTAAGGAACACAAGTTTCTTTACTATAATCAGGAAACCCTATATTACTTACTACATACCCATGTTATGGTAACTTAGTGTAAGTTCATTAACAGCAACCCAGTAATACCATGTCGGAACTGAAGTTGGCCAAGCACAGCCTCGGAGGGACCCGAGTTCCTTTGGTATCAGGATCAAACATCATCAGATGCTAAATCCTCCTGAGTCGTACCCTTCATCAGCACTGCTCCGAAAGTTCCGAAAGTCAAAGCAGTCCCTACGTCCTTTCGACAGCTATCATTCTCTGCCATCATTGACATATAGGTGTTACTACTGCAAGCAATTCCCTTTCCTACCATATTGCTCACCCTCCACCTGAACGAAGTAAACGACACAACTTTGGGAGGCCTCTGCCACGCTGCCGGAGTGACTCCAATGTTGCTGTCGCAAGATCTGTCAGGGCCGTGCGCCCAGGTGCAGGTCTGCTAAACTTACAGTTATTACAGCCCTTTCCGAGGAGACCCATAACCAATACCTCACTACAAATAGTCAGGGTAGACATGCCAAGGTCTGTTCCCATATCAGGCCACCTGTCCGCTCATCAAGCAATGCCATATGAAGCCATGCGATTTGAGTCTGAGGCAATCCTGAACAAGCTGGTCCCTCAGTGGCTTGTGAATTCCTCCGACTTTGCAAGGAGGACGTATAGGAAGACGGAGCTGTGACCGTTTTCCAGTGTTCAGGTGTTGTCTTCAAGGCCAATCATTCGAAGGAAACGGCCACTTTTGTGTTGGCCTTTCTGGCTTAGATGTGCAGAAGTGGGCCTCAACTAGGGTCACTAGTCACTATCCGATGCCAACTGCTGCCGGCTGACTTGCAACCAACAGACAACCTACTGGCTTGCACACCTCGAAGTCTAGCTCTACAGCGAAATCCCCGAGCGATCGTAGTCTGTATCCATGTTGCCCTTTGTCACAAACCTCGCCATTCCCTGTAGGGAACTACGTAGCTTTACTTCATCTTGGGATACACAAGCAGTTTGCAATGTGACTCGCTGGCATCTTATGACCTTGGAGAAGCCAGGCTTACCCTCGAGAAATTCCAGCTGCTTTACGAGCAGCTGACTTCTGGGATCAGGCCCGCCAATGGGGGTCGGGCATTCTGCGAAATCTGAAGAGATTGTCCAAGCTTTAAGAGGTGGTTCCATGAATCGGGTGAACCCAATACAGGCTCCAACATGTTATATTACTGTACCTGTTATGGGGACCCTCACAAAGGTACCCCTAATTTTGGGAAACCCCGAGAAGAGCCTGGAGAACTTGAGCCAGGTTCGTGCCATGATAGTTGCAGGCTGTGATGCCATCAAGCTGCTTGTCGCTCACACGTCAGGACCCAGGACCATGTGCAGATCCTGCTTGAAGAGGCCTTGCGGGTACTTGCATCGGTGAACATGAGATCCCTAGATCAAACTCCTCTTGAGGAGGAAAGCGCCAAGGCGCATAGTTGAGCCATAGTTTGAGTGAGGTGTGCATGAGAAGCAGAAGGCTGCTGAAGCTATACCATCAATCGCAGCCGCTTTGCTTGTGCTGTTGTACTTTTTAACCTAGCAGATTTGCAGAGGTGTTCGACAAGGCGCTGGTGCTTGCCTCAGCCTTCCTTCATCCAGCCTATCCAGCCTTCGGAGCAAGCAGTGAAGACTTCAATGTACCTGGGGCTGGGCGGCGAATACGGCGCGCGGTGGATAGAGCAACATCCTGGTTTTGCATATTCAGGTTATTGAGTGAGATATCAACTCGCTCCATCCTGAAGCCATGAATTCATGAACAGCCTAATTATGCTCGACGATATAGCTTCGTATTCTTGGTGATCATGGCATGCGAATCGCCCTCGTTCCAGTCCCGGAGCAGCTGCTGGGCCTGAACTGTCGAGACGAGCTCAAAATGTGATCGATTCAGAAGCATTCCTTTGCAGCGCGGGGCATGCAACGGCCATGGGTAGACTCTCATGATTCAACGCAACTAGCGACCATGTCTCCCTTGAGCTTTGAGGTAAGCGTAGCCTAGAGAGGCTGCAGAGGTCCCTTCACAACGTGCACACAAGGGGGAAAGCTACTAAAGCTGAGTTGCTTGCAAGCTGAGCTCCTGTACATCCTTCGGACACCTTGCTGAGGTCCAGCACCCCTTCTTGCCCATGTACGCAGATCTTTGTGCTCGCCTGGCTGCGGATGTGCGGACCCAGGCAAGATGGCCGATGGGCAGAGTTGTAAAGGCAAGATAGCAGTTGGAGTCGTCTTCATATGAATATTGTAGGCGGAGGAGGAGGAGGAGGAGGCGTGGTACGTGGCTTCATGCCACCGACAGGTCTGTAGCAGCAGTAGGGAGGGCAGCAGTAGCCCCAGCACACTCACTGACTACTGTTAAGGAACTCGCGTGAGTGCAAGGTGTGAAGTAGACTGTTACAGGGAAGAGCAGAACAGCAGGTGTGCCATAGCGTGAAGACCACTCTAGAATCTCTAGAATATTCTAGACTCCTGACGGTATAATACTTTCCGTGCTCAGCCCCAACACCTAATTCACAACGAGCTTAAGGGGACCCACTCTTTGGCCCACTCCATCAGTTCGATATCAAGATGCCTGCATTTCACTCCTGCGCTCGCCACTGCCCTGCCCTCATGCAGGATGGTTTTGAACATTCGCTTATGGAAATGCCACTGGGCGGCACATGGGAACTTGAGCCATCCTGCAAGTCAGTCGGATGATGTGCATTGCAGCAGCCACGTCAAGGTGCCGAACCTGCTTCGCACAGCCTGGCTCTTACTGTTGGAAGACCTAGGAGGGGAGCCAAGATCAAAACGATCCCTTTTTCAGGGCGCCTTCTGCCTCTCCCCCTATACAGTCTCAAACTGCATGAGTGCAGCCGACATGCTACATAGAGGCTGACGCAGCCCATTAAATGTTCCTTGGTTTGTTTCGACTAGCAATTGTTTATTTGGCTGCTGCTGCACATCGTTGCCGGCCATCTAATGTGACAGCCCCGCAACGTAGCCGGTGGACCACCTAGTTGCTCAACCATCCAGAGCACAAGATGTGGAGGAGAAGAAGCCTCTTTGTCTAGCAACTTTGGTAGCCGCTACGTTGCGCACTTGCGGCACCGCCACGCATCAATAGACCTTCGAACAACAAGCATGGAACCGGTACCAACGTGCTGCTTCGCATAAGACCTACATGTTACGATGCCCAATGGCCTACTCCATCGGCCTAAGGTTGTTCGTGGAGGAAGAAGATGCTGGCAACTACGAGCCTGGCTCAGAAATGCAACAAAAACAGCAGAAGCTCATGGCTTTCATGTGGTTGAAGCGCTTTTACTTCGTCATGAACTGCGCCAGAATCAGTCCTTTGCCCTGACTTGCTCTGCGCTTTGCAGCCTCCTCTGTTCAAGCTCACGCGGCGACTGCGCTGGATGTGTCTGCTTAAGTAGCACTTGCTATTGAATGCTTTAGGTCATCTGCGTGTTTGGGGTTTGCGCCTGTCTGTCCTCGCGTGTGCTTTGTACGTGTCTTTGCCTCCCCCACCAAGCTCACTTGGCCATGGCTCAATACGGGAAAGCCGAGTACTGGGAGGACTTTCTAGGGGCTTCTCAAAACAGGGGTGCCCCACTCCAGGATCATATAATTGCGGGGGCTTAGTGGGATCATATTGATATCCGTAGGTGATCCATTAGGTCCCTGAGGATTTTTGGTTTTTGAAGCACCTGCCTAAATGGTCTGGAGCGTGGAAAACGGCAGTATCATTCAATCACTAGCAGTGCAGCACTACACCACTATAAGGGATTGTATAGGGATGATGAAACTATTATTAGAGGTTATATAAGGATAATGGAAAAGAAAATGGAAACTACTATAATAGCTACACTGCTACCATGTTGGCAAACTAGTGCAAGCTTCGAAGCTGAGCACGATTCTTAATCCAGGTCTGTGCTCCTTCCATAGCAAAAGTCGGGACATTGCTGGCTTTGTGCCCCAAGCAATGTCGCTGAGAATCTCCAAGACCTGAAGCTCCTAAAATCCGTGCAGCGCAATTCCTGGTAACGACGCGCTAACGACCCTACAGCATGCCCCCAACTCCCATACGGAGACTTCTCAGTGCACACTATTTCACACTGTTATACTTGTTCCAATTATTTGTTTTACTATTTTTTTGTTACTACTATAGTATTAGTCTTATGTGTAAAAGATCCAGGCAGGCTTTAAGCGTAGCAGGAGCGCTACACACGAGATCCAGAGCCCTTCGACTGGTACCAGCGCTGGGCCGGTCTCAAGGATGGTGAGAAAGGGATTCTATAGGGGTTGAATGGGGTTTTAATTTGGGTTTTATAGGGGTTCTATGGGATTCTATAAGGGTTCTATAGGGGTTATATAAAGGGGCTATATAGGGGCTATATAGGGGCTATATAAGGATAATGGAAAAGAACATGGAGCTGCTATGTTTCGGGTTTAGGGCTGAGGGTGTAGGGTTTAGGGTCCCAAGCTAACATGAAACCTCATATAGCCTTTTGCTTCTGAAAAAAAGTGTTTGAGCCCTTTGGGCGGGTCTTGTTAGATTGGAGGGGAAGGTGAGGAAGGCTTGGTGGTTCAGTCTTTTGGAAGTTAAGGGTTCAAGGTGGAGAGAGGGCTTGGCAACTAGCGGTATAAGGTTTGACATGTCTCTTCGCTTAGGGTCGACGAGGGTTGCAATCCAAGATGCATTTTTGAATGCAGCACTGGGCTTCGGTGACAAGATCAATCTGCGAGTCTCCGGAAATCAGGCAACTCCGGCTTTGACATATAACCCATTATAGTAGTTTCCATTTTCTTTTCCATTATCCATATAAACCCCCACTATACTATAGTAACTATAGTAGTTTCCATTTTCCCATTATCCCAATATTAGTGAAACCTCACGGGCAGGGTTTCCTGGAGGTTAAGGGCAATCAGGGCTTGAGGTTTGCGCATCCCATTCCCTGCCGTTGCAACACGTGACTGCCTTACACTGGAGATCCTGCTTTATAGGCCACCATGGGACCATGATGGCACTGAGCCTTCCATTAGTCCATGTGAGCCAGGACACGTTTGCTGAGTACGTGCAGCCCTCCCACGGCGTTTTGATGCTCGGCTGTGGAAACTCCAGATTGAGCGAGGACCGACGGCACGGTTACAGACTGGTCTGGGTGCTAAGAGGGTTGGTCTGCCGCAAAAAATGGAGGTATGGCTGCTGTAGCGTTTTTGATATTTCCGCCAGCACACGCATGTGAGATCTACCATTCCCTGAGCGATTGGCAGGCAAAAGCAGTAGGCATTTCAGGAGTCTGTCATGCTGTCAGGCGAGGGCAGG